ACGCACACACACACACACACACACACACACACACACACACACATACATACTGTGATAATTTGCATTCCGTGTCTAAATCCATGTTAAACCACCTTCATTAATCCAGCCGCCAGAGGGAGATTGTCATAATGGAAACAGCATCGTATCTGGCAACAAACACACACACACACACACACACACAGACACACACACACACACACACACACACACACACACACTTGTGTACAAGCAGAGTCTGTGTTGTCGTCCCTCTCTCAGTTTCTCTAGCACTAATCTTTCCGACAGCCTCGCTCCATATTTTCTCTCCTCTTCTTCGATTCGGGTCCAATCCTCTCGCTGGGTCGCGTTTTAAAGGATTTGAGGAAGGATAAAAACGATTTCACGGGAGCCCTCAAATCAAACCCCATTTTTGTAAACACTACAAAAGGGTGGGGGGGAAACGGAATAAGAAAAACAACCGTGGAAGTGTACTGGGAAAATGGAGAATTAAAAACACACGCTACAATATCTGAGACACACAAAGACGGGGTCATGGCGTGTTTGTGATAAACTCCCAGAGCAAACGCACTCTGTCGTCTTCCTTCAACACACAACTGAGCGCAGGCTTTTTATAAACCTCCATTTACTCTCTCACCCGTTTCGCTGTCACTGTGATGTTTGTTTGCTGTGAGTTCTGTGCCGGTTATAAAATATTCAGCTGAGATATTCCTCGTAGGGGAAAAAACCCACAGTAAATCAAATATTACTTATGGAAATACACAAAGTGTTCCTGGAAATCAGCTCTTTGGTCAAATTGTTCGTTGTTGCATTTGGGAAAAAGTACAAATCAGTCTGCGATGGGGATCCAGGTTTCAGCTTAACGACGGTTCAAATGAAACTGTTACCGGTAACCATGGCAACTGTTCACCACCAAGTTTGATTCATGGGTAATAATCTGTGTAAAGGGACCAAAATATGAGAGCAATGACTAACTGCTGGAAACAGACAGGACTCAGTGCAGCAGCAATAATCATGTTAAATGTTATTTTTATTAATATACCTATTTTTATGTTTTTATACCTCTACCTGTATTTTTTGCGATAAACCAAGTTCAGGACTTCAGCTCGTATCGTCTTCGTCACACAAGTTTTCTATTTATATACTTGTACAGCTTGTGCTCTTAACTGTCATATATTGTGATGTATTTTCCGGTTAATTGAAAACAAGTACTTGTAACTGTACCACGTCAAAGTCTATGGTACCAAGGATTCAAAGCATTTACTTTTACTTTATTGTGATTATTATAAAATCATTCAGCTCCCTTTTCATTTTCTACACAGTTAGACTTTAAGAGTTTTTTAAAGAATGTCTGCTGCCGCTCACTCAACACGGTGTCATTGTAAAAAGTATAAATTGCCAACATCAATCTTATTGCGACTCAAAACCCTGGAGCTTCGTCTCTATCCCGCAGCGGGACGACCCCTGACCTGAGCTACAGGATGGATGTCATTGTTTTTTTTTTAGGCTGCAGAGACATTGTCGTTTTTATAATGACGATTTAAAAACATATGACGGTAAACATCGACAACCTCACCTCTCCGACCATGCCGTTCCACTCCCCGTCGATGTTCTTGCCGTGCCGGCCGTTTGTCACCAGGTAAAGGTCGTAGGTGAAGCCCACGATCTTGGCCAGGCGCTTCAGGACGTCGATGCAGAACCCTTTGCAGCAGTGCTTCATGGGCCCGGCGCTGTCCACCACCAAACTGCACAGGAAAAGTGAGAAAACACAAAACAAGATGACACGCAGCTCTTTGTGAGATGCTGAGATATTTCATGGAGGACGCGGTGACCCCCCGACAGCCTGCTTGGCTCTTGTAGAAATTGAAAACGAAGGAGAGAGTTGCTAAGGGAGAGAGAAAACCAACAGATAAGCACCTGAGAGACGGAGGGAGAAGGAACAGGACGGCGAGGGAGGAAGGTATGAATTATTGGCGAGGGGCTGAGAGCGGATCGATACCGACGGTTTGGGCTGTTGTGTTTGGAGAGGCAGCGCTCGACAGGTCAGACAGCTCAGGGGGAAAAGTGCTGCATTATTAAAACAGAGTGAAATCCTGTTTTGTGCACCGCGACGACGACTGAAAGAAACAAAACTCAGAATTTCTCTTTCCTCAGAGACGCCATCCAGCAAACACTTCAGTGTATTTATTCAGGGACCGGCTAAGTGGCCGTAGTGTCCTCAGTCAGGTCCTCATGCCGAGTGTTCATCTGATTGTCTCTGCGGCACTTCGGCGTGTCCTCTGCTCCGATGCAATGCAACAAGCACATCTGACTAATTACAAGGGCAACCGCATCTGAGCAGAAATGAAACAGAGGCCGTGTCGTGTAAAATGTTGGACGGCAGGGTTATGATGTGTCAGACGCCACAATCGATTCTCTTCCTGTGTGTGTGTGTCTGTGTGTGTGTGTCTGTGTGTGTCTGTGTGTGTGTGTGTGCAACTAAATTCACAGCAACTACATTTATATTCTAAAATCAAACTGAATTAAACCTTCAACTCAGAATGAGCAAAAATTGAATATAAGACGTCTTAATCACGTTACGTCTGATTGGAGTAAAAAGAAATCAGCAAAGAATAAGAAATAAACAAATAAACATATTATTTGACATGTTGAAACGTATAAACTGATAATGATTTCCTGAAGATATCCCTCTTTGCTCTTTAACATTTAAAAAATATTAATGGAAGCAGAAAAATCTAAACAATGTTTAAACTAAAACTGAAATCGTGTTCAAGTGATTTAAAGAAGCGTTAAAACCGGATATTTGAACGTCGGAGCAGTGGAAGCTGCTTTAAACACAACATTTGATCTCCACCAGCTGACTTAGCTCCAGTATGATAACTAGCTTGTTGCTAACTTTATTAGCCTACCGTGAAGTGCTAAGGTTAATAAAAACTTTATCACTGTCAACACTGAGTCATTAAATTCATTGTCAGTGGTAAAATTGCGTATCGACGATACTTGTTTTACAAATACTACTATACTGTATATAGGATATGTGATGATTTAGCCTTTGGTTGTATTAAATTGTTCGGGCGTATGTTGGAAAATGTTCTTTAACCTCATTAAGTTTGATGTTATGTTAGAAATGTGACATTTAGAATGTGCGACATGCGTAACGTGGCCCTCGTCTGAAATGTGGAGCGCTTAAATACAATTAGGTTCAGGTGTGTGGTTCTGCCCCAGTGATTTTATACGTGTTCATTTGCAGCTTTGAACAAACCAACCATGAGAATGTGGAGGAAATAAAAAGCTTAAACATCTTGTCCACTGTACTGAAGTAACATGAGAGCAAACAAAGTGCGTAAAGACAGAAAATCAATTATGAAAGAGACAAACACCAGAGAGGAAAAAATCCTTGAAGGGAGAAACAACTGAGGTCAAAGCAGGTTTATGAACAAGAGAACAAACTTCTCCTCCAGCCAATAAAACTGATGGAGGATGAACTCGTTATCTTCCCATTGGCCGGGTCATGAGCTGGCAGGAAGGAGGCTTATCTGGGATAGACCAGGAGCCGAGAACACACACACACACACACACACACACACGTTCCTCCTCTTTTGGTGCACGTGGCTTCATGCAACTTGCTATAAATTGAATTAAATCATTTTCCATGTGTTGTGATTTACATTGTTTGTATTGATTTGGCTGCTGTTTACAATCTGGACTGATTAAAAGACAATTAACCGAGTTGTCCTGCGCGGTTCTTCCTTGTGGTTTTAATGAACAGTTGAAATTATTCTTTAATTGCGAGCTGTGATGTGCTTCCATGTGACTTTCGGCGTATCTACAGCCGCCGGGATGCACCTTAATCTTTCTCCGTGGGATGATGAGGTTATTTTCTGATGTTTTAATCTATTGCTCCCAGAAGACAAAGTCTTTGTTTAAGTCTCGCTCTGTGTACGCAGCACACGAGACGGTGAAGATTTACAGTCTTGTTGTCAGTCGCTCGGCCAGACGCTCTTCAATTTTACAAGCGATCAGAGCACCGAGGCCTTCTGCACGGTTTATAGAAAATAACCATTGAGAGGAAAAACAGGATGTCGAGATCTGAAACTGTCTCCTGTTGTGTGTCAAAGTGCCTCAGTCCATTTTGAGACAGGAAAACAAGACATCAATATTATTCTGATACACGTACAACTGCAGGTCACGGTGTCCTGTCCTGTCCACGTCCATTTTAAACACATTGACTTCTCTCAGTGCCTCAAGTCTGAAGTGGACCAAACCAGGAGGTGTATCGTTCACCTCTGCTCCCATTAATAAAGTGGTATTTCCTTTAATATCGAGCATTTAATATAGTTACATCAGTTTGGAAAGTGTTTGAATAATAAAGAAGCACTGGAAAAAAATTGGACGTAGAGAAAAATCGAGGGAAAACTAAAATGCGTGCCTGTGAAACCACGTGAAAAACTTCACTCTGCTTATTCGTCAGATGTGTCTGGAGTTTGAAGAAGAAAGTAAACACACAACGCTCTGCTCCCACTGCTACACAAGCCCATACAGTTTGTGTGCTCTGTCGCTTCCCAGAATGCAAAGGCCTCCTGGCGACAGGAGTCGTTTTAATCTGATATGAAAGGTTTCCTCCAGATGTGACAGCGTTGGCTGATATATGTGATGGTGGTGGTATTACCTGGAGTTGACGGGCATGCGGCAGGGCACGGAGTCCCGGATGCAGGAGCTGGTGCCGGGGTCAGCAGGCTCCACAATGACGAAGGGCCTCTCCTCCAGGGTGACCACTCGGAGGTGCTGGGCGTCATCCAGAGGCTTCAGGAAAGAGCCGTAACGAGACCAGGGATGGTAACGAAGCCGCAGGTGTCCGTTCTCCCACCAGCCAACCTGGAAACACACAGAGGAACACATCAGCTCCTCGCCCCTGCTCTCCCTCAGAGACACCGAGAGGTCGCCACAGACTGTGTGGTCTCGTTCCTGCGTCGTGACCTCTGTGTGGGAAGAGTCGAGGGACGACGTCACAAATCGCAAAACAACAAGGACTCGACCGCCGCGGTAACAAGTTGGTAGAGCGAGTTCCTCGCGGACATCAGGTTCCTCGGCCCATCTGTCTGTTTACTGGAGATTGTTAGCGTGTGAGTCAAACACGTCCTCGACAGCTCTGCATCTTTTTCCTGCAGGTCTCAAGACAGAGACGTGTGGAGGACGTCTCGGGTTGTGAGGGAGATCTGGTGTCTCTGCATCAGCAATGAGCATTTAACTGAGATAATTATCTTCAACTGCAAGATGTTATTCTGAAGACGAGACGGTTCACAGCGCCGCCGTCTTATGTAAACAAATCTGTTTGCATTGACGGTGACTGGATGCATGTGCGACCACAACACGGTGAACGTGTCGGCGTATTTTCTCATATTAAAGCTGCGGTGACAGATACTTACACGTTATTTGCAAACAACCGATTCTCCTGTTGATCTCCTCGATGCCACGAGACGTGAAAAACACAAGCTCGTGAAAGTTTTCGTTACTTGTGAGGACACAAGCGTCACTTTGCATAGTACATGCAGATTACTGACCTTGTGGGGATCAGTATTTTAACAGGAACGTCTTCATTCAGGTACTTGGAGAGGAAGTACTCACTTATTTTACCTAAGTAAAAGTACAAGAATGTAGTAAAGTATTAACTTGAATAAAAGTAAATGCTGGCTTTTATTTATAATTTAGGTTTGAAAAGTAAAAGTATTTGCAGAGTGTGGCCTGTTCCGCAACAGTCAAGTAAACCATTAATAAAAATAACATAAATCTACTTAAGGAAAGCACAGATACATGAAAAACGTACGTAAGGACAGTAATTAAGTAATTGTACCTTATTACATCCCACCTTTGGCCATTTGTACTTTAATACAGTTTAGAGTACAAGAGCAAAAATCAAGTAGCTCAACCAAACCGTTAATAATTTCACAGCCACCAACTTAGATTCAATGATTTCAGCTTTAGCTCATAAATAACTGTAAATCATCTGAATATTATCGCTCAGTGTCAACAGCAACATGCTAAAGTCATGTGATCTGGACCCACTGACGCCGGCCTGGCAGCGTGTAAACACGGAGTCAAACTAATCTCCTCCGAACAGATGTTACAGCTGGATCCAGCTCTGCTTCATGGGAGATCACTTCCCACAATGCATTGTGAGCACACACAGGTCCTCACAGCGAGATGAGAAAGACACAATGTGACGGATGAACACTTCACGGTCCTGAAGAGGAGACACACGGGAAACCACAGACACACGGGAAACCACAGACA